GGTTCTGTGTGGGAGATTTGGCTCAATTCCATCATTGGTGGAGTTCAGAATGCTCCTTGATTGTAGGTGAACTATAAATCCCAGCAACTACAACTCCCAAATGACACAATCAATCCCCCCAACCCCACCAGTATTCAAATTTGGGCGTATGGGGTATTTGTGCCAAATTTGGTCCGGTGAATGAAAATACACCCTGTATATCAGATGTTTACATTACGATTCATAACAATAACACAATAACAATTCTGAAGTAGCAACGAAGATAATGTGATGGTTGGGGGTCAACACAACATGAGGAACTGGATTAAGGGGTCGCAGCATTAGGAAGGTTGAGAAACACTGGTGTAGATGCAAACGGGAATAGATGCTGACGGGTCAGGGGAAAAACAGCAGCGACAAAGATGAAAGGTTACTAAAATTTGGAGAGAAGAAATAGCTAATATGAGAAGAACGTTTGGAACAAGGCAATTGTGTTAATGAGAAGGAAAATATGGGCGGAAAGAAACCAGTAGCACCTTTTCAACCATAACCGTTTTATTTTAGCCCAAGCTTCAATGGATTTCAGTTGCAATTGTTTTGGAGCTCAGGCAAAAACAAACCAGTTTGAAACAAAGATGCTCCTGGAATGCTTTCCATACATTTCTTTTTCTTTTAAGAGAGGAACGAATATGTAACTTTCTGTGCTTTTGTGCCGTAGCAGGCTTGAGCTTAAATTCGGTGCTGTTTCCCTGGGCTCTTCAGAGCAGACAACTTTGTTCTTTCATCTGGAAAGAAGTGACGAGCGGAGTGCCGCAGGGTTCCGTCCTAGGCCCGGTCCTGTTCAACATCTTTATTAATGACTTAGATGAAGGGCTAGAAGGCAGGATCATCAAGTTTGCAGATGACACCAAATTGGGAGGGAGAGCCAATACTCCAGAGGACAGGAGCAGGATTCAAAACGATCTTGACAGATTAGAGAGATGGGCCAAAACTAACAAAATAAAGTTCAACAGGGACAAATGCAAGATACTCCACTTTGGCAGGAAAAACAAAATGCAAAGATACAGAATGGGGGATGCCTGGCTCGAGAGCAGTACGTGTGAAAAAGATCTTGGAGTCCTCGTGGACAACAAGTTAAACATGAGCCAACAATGTGATGTGGCGGCAAAAAAAGCCAATGGGATTTTGGCCTGCATCAAGAGGAGCCTAGTGTCTAGATCTAGGGAAGTCATGCTACCCCTCTATTCTGCTTTGGTTAGACCACACTGGAATATTGTGTCCAATTCTGGGCACCACAATTCAAGAGAGATATTGACAAGCTGGAATGTGTCCAGAGGAGGGCGACTAAAATGATCAAGGGTCTGGAGAACAAGCCCTATGAGGAGAGGCTTAAGGAGCTGGGCATGTTTAGCCTGAAGAAGAGAAGGCTGAGAGGAGATATGATAGCCATGTATAAATATGTGAGAGGAAGCCACAGGGAGGAGGGAGCAAGCTTGTTTTCTGCTTCCCTGGAGACTAGGACGCGGAACAATGGCTTCAAACTACAAGAGAGGAGATTCCATCTGAACATAGGAAGAACTTCCTGACTGTGAGAGCCGTTCAGCAGTGGAACTCTCTGCCCGGAGTGTGGTGGAGGCTCCTTCTTTGGAAGCTTTTAAGCAGAGGCTGGATGGCCTTCTGTCAGGGGTGATTTGAATGCAATATTCCTGCTTCTTGGCAGAATGGGGTTGGACTGGATGGCCCAGGAGGTCTCTTCCAACTCTTTGATTCTATGATTCTATGAAAATCAAGTGCATGACCATTTAATTTTTTATATGCTGGGTTTCGTCCATTTGGGAAAAAATCATGTCAGAGCCATCCCGTCCTCCAAACGTCTTGTATTTGTTAACAGTCAAGTGTTTTTAAGTGTTGGAGCTCAGCAGGATGCTGGGAATTCTAATTCTGAGGATGAGATTTTTCACAGAGTCTGTGTCTGTTCCTCAGGTTGAAACACAGACAGAAATGCAAGCCATAGATCACAGAGACAGGTCAAAGCCAACAGCTGCAGAAGAGATAGAGCAGTGTTTCTCAACCTGGGGGTCGGGACCCCTGTGGGGGTCACGAGGGGGTGTCAGAGGGGTCACCAAAGACCATCAGAAAACATAGTATTTTCTGTTGGTCATGGGGGTTCTGTGTGGAAAGTTTAGTTCAATTCTATCGTTGGTGGGGTTCAGAATGCTATTTCATTGTGGGTGAACTATAAATCCCAACAACTACAACTCCCAAAAGGCAAGGTCTATTTTCTCCAAACTCTACCAATGTTCACATTTGGGCATATTGAGTATTTGTGCCAAGTTTGATCCAGTTCCATCATTGCTTGAGTCCACAGTGTTCTCTGGATATAGGAGAACTACAACTCCAAAAACTCAAGGTCAGTGTCCACCAGACCTTCCCAGTATTTTCTCTTGGTCATGGGAATTCTGTGTGCCAAGTTTGATTCAATTCCATCATTGGTGGAGTTCAGAAAGCTCTTTGATTTTAGGTGAACTATAAATCACAGCAACTCCAGCATTACCAAATGACAAAATCAATCACCCCCAACCCCACCAGTCTTCAAATTTGGGCGTATCAGGTATTTGTGCCAAATTTGGTCCAGTGACTACAAATACATCCTGCATATCAGATATTTACATTACCATTCATAACATTACCAAAATTACAGTTATGAAGTGGCAATGAAAATAATGTTATGATTGGGGGTCACCTCAACATGAGGACCTATACTAAGGGGTCACGGCATTAGGAAGGTTGAGAACCACTGAGATAGAGGGTGTTTCTTTTGAGGATTGGCCTTCCAAGCCTTCTTGTCCTTCAGAAGATGCGGAGTTGTCTCGTGATATGGGATTAGGTCTCAGTTCGGAGAGAGCTAAGGAAAGGTTAATGAGGAAGTCAGAAAGAATTTGTAAGAAACAGTCCTTAAAGCACGGGTGCAGAAAAGATGATCTCATGTTTGTTGGGTCAGGCTTGAGCTTAAATTCAGTGCTGTTTCCCTGGGCTCTTCAGAGCAGACAACTTCGATTTAAAACCAAGTTGATGACCATGTTGGGACTCAGCCTGTGATTGAACCTGAGCCTGTGCTTGAACCTGTGAATGTGTTTTAGTCTCCTGATGCTTCTGTGTCTGATGTGGGTAATGAGGAGGGAAATCACTCTCCTGTTGCTTCTGATGTGGGGGATGCTGGGACTGACTCTGAGGTGCAAGATGGAGACACTTTGGTCAATGAGTTTCATGCAGACACTGACAGAGAGGCTTCGGTGCAAAGGGCAGATTCTCATGAGAATGTTTCTGTCAGGTCTTGGGAGAAAGGTTTACTCCCTCCGCTTGTGAGCTCTCCAGATTCTAGTTTGGAAAACAATCTGACACCTGGTAAAGTTAATGAGGAGTCAGATAAGCAGAGTCGGCAGCTGGAGATTAGCCAGAATGGACAAGAGGCCCAATGTTTACATAGGTCCAAAAGAATTCGTCAATTAAAGTCAAAGACTGGGGGAAAACGAAACCAGTTTTTGGGATTTAAGGTTTGCCTGTAGAAAATCTTGTCAGATCAGGCATCATTTGGAAACCAAGTTCTTGTGCCATGGAAGTCTTGTTCAAGGGATCTTGCTTCTGTGGAGTTTTTTAGCCTTTTGAATTGCCTTTGCACCCTGCTTGATTCCTGTCTGAATAAATGCTGTCTTGGATTGCCTGTATTTCTTGTGTGGACATTGCTTTGGGTTACTACTGTTTATGGACTAATACTTTTTGGAACCTTCTGATTTTCTTACAAGCATTTATTTCTTCTGGCTTTTTTTACGAAGCTTTAATAAAAGAAGATTTGATTCTTCACTCTTTGTGTGGCGTGTTTTAAGTCAGAGGGCTTCTTCTGGATCTGGAGATTAGCCAGAATCAGCAAGAGGCCCAATGTTCTGATGTTCTTACAAGCATTTATTTCTTCTGGCTTTTTACTAAAATTAATAAAAGAAGATTTGATTCTTCACTCTTCGTGTGGTGTGTTTTAAGTCAGAGGGCTTCTTTTGTACCTTGAGATTATCCAGAATCGASAAGAGGCCCAATGTTCTGATGTTCTTACAAGCATTTATTTCTTCTGGCTTTTTACTAAGCTTTAATAAAAGAAGATTTGATTCTTCACTCTTCGTGTGGTGTGTTTTAAGTCAGAGGGCTTATTCTGGACCTGGAGATTAGCCAGAATCGACAAGAAGCCCAATGTTCTGATGTTCTTACAAGCATTTATTTCTTCTAGCTTTTTTACTAAGCTTTAATAAAAGAAGATTTGATTCTTCACTCTTTGTGTGGTGTGTTTTTAGTCAGAGGGCTTCTTCTGGACCTGGAGTGCACCAGACCAGCTCTCAAGTTTGCCTATGTTCCTGAATCGGTTTTTGCCTTCCTTAAGTTCTTGTTTTCATGCTACGGATTTTTGACTATGCTTTGACTTCTTGGATTTCCATGTACCTTGTTATTCTGGACTTCATGTACCTTGCTGTTGTGGATTTCATGTATCTTGTTATCTTGGATTTCATGGACAATTACCATTTTGGACTATTGATTTTTATATTTTGGATTATTGCTATTTTATAGTACCTTTTCTACTGCCTTTTGGGATATTCCTTTACTCCCCTTTTGTATTCGCCTTTTGTAAATACATTTCTGTAGTTAGCAACTACTGGACTCTGTTTGATGCTGGGTGAAAAAGTGTCATGACTTAGTGTGTGACATTAATTCTCTTCTTTGTTACTTTCAAGCAGATATATATATCCTTTGAACAAGACTTCCATGGCACAAGAACTTGGTTTCCAAACGATGCCTGATCTGACAAGATTTTCTACAGGCAAAGCTTAAATCCCAAAATCTGGTTTCGTTTTCCCCCAGTCTTTGATTTTAATTGACGAATTCTTTTGGACCTACGTAAACATTGGGCCTCTTGTCCATTCTGGCTAATCTCCAGTTACCAACTCTGCTTATGTGACTCCATATATATATATCTTTCCCAAATGTATCTGTCATTCGTAAACAAAGCAATGCATACTAAACAATTGCAGGATTTGTGACGATTCGGTTTCCTTGCATGAAAGGAATGGCAGAAATTAATGCTTGTAGTTTAGAGACATGATGTGAAATTAGCTCAATATGGCTTTCCAAATATTTTTTGGCTACAAATCCCATCATGCATGATTCCTGAGTCTGCCTTAAATTGTGATGGGTGCTGTCTTCATTCCAAAGGGATGCATCTATATTGCAAATTTAATATGGTTTGTTACCACTTGAACTGCCATGGATGGAATGATGGGAGTTGTATGTATTGTCGAAGGCTTTCATGGTCGGAATCACTGGGTTGTTGTAGGTTTTTTCGGGCTATATGGCCATATTCTAAGGGCATTTTCTCCTATATGCCCTTAGAACAGTGTTTCTCAACCTGGGGGTCGGGACCCCTGGGGGGGTCTCAAGGGGGAGACAGAAGGGTCGCCAAAGATCATCAGAAAACACAGTATTTTCTGTTGGTCATGGGGGTTCTGTGTGGGAAGTTTGCTCCAATTCTATTGTTGATGGAGTTCGGATTGCTCTTTGATTGTAGCTGAATTATAAATCCCAGAAACTACAACTCCCAAATGTCAAGGTCTATTTTCCCCAAACTCTACCAGTGTCCACATTTGGGCATATTGAGTATTTGTGCCAAGTTTGGTCCTGATCCATCATTGTTTGAGTCCAAAGTGGTCTCTGGATGTAGGCGAACTACAACTCCCAAACTCAAGGTCAATGCTCACCAAAACCTTCCAGTATTTTCTGTTGCTTGTGGGACTTCTGTGTGCCAAGTTTGGTTCAATTCCATCGTTTTTGGAGTTCAGAATGCTCTTTGATTGTAGGTGAACTATAAATCCCAGCAATTATAACTCCCAAATGACAAAATCAATACCCTCCCCCAACCCCACCAGTATTCAAATTTGGGCGTATCGGGTATTTGTGCCAAATTTGGTCCAGTGAATGAAAATACATCCTGCATATCAAATATTTACATTACAATTCATTAACATTACCAAAATTACAGTTATGAAGTAACAACTAAAATAATTTCATGGTTGGGGGTCACCACAACATGAGGAACTGTATTAAGGGGTCGCGGCATTAGGAAGGTTGAGAACCACTGAGATAGAGGGTGTTTCTTTTGAGGATAGGCCTTCCAAGCCTTCTTGTCCTTCAGAAGATGGGGAGTTATCCCGTGATATGGGAGTAGGTCTCCGATCGGAGAGAGCTAAGGAAAGGTTAATGAGGAAATCAGAAAGAATTTGTGAGAAACAGTCCTTGAAGCACAGGTGCAGAAAAGGTGATCTCATGTTTGTTGGGTCAGGCTTGAGCTTAAATTCAGTACTGTTTCTCTGGGCTCTTCAGAGCAGACAACTTCGTTTTAAAACCAAGTTCATGACCATGTTGGGACTCAGCCTGTGATTGAACCTGAGTCTGTGCTTGAACCTGTGAATGTGTTTCAGTCTCCTGATGTTTGTGTGTTTGATGTGGGTAATGAGGAGGGAAATCTGTTGCTTCTGATGTGGGGGATGCTGGGGGCATATCGGGTATTTGTGCCAAATTTGGTCCAGTGAATGAAAATACATCCTGCATATCAAATATTTACATTACGATTCATAACATTAGCAAAATTACAGTTATGAAGTAACAACTAAAATAATTTCATGGTTGGGGGTCACCACAACATGAGGAACTGTATTAAGGGGTCGTGGCATTAGGAAGGTTGAGAAACACTGCCTTAGAACATAGCCATATAACCCGAAAAAACCTACAACAACCCTATGGGAGTTGTAGTTTGGTGAGGAACTGTCTTAGCATAGAAGGCTCAAGACCTTGCAAAACTCCCAGGATTCCACAGCACCGAGCCATGGCACCTTCAAACTGCATTAAACCTACAGCGTAGACGCATGGCTGACCGGAGATTCTCGGATGAGAACAAAACACAAGGAAAGAGCAACTACTAGTTTTAAACTGATGGGAAATCTTTGGTTAGATTGCAGCTGGACTTTGTGACCTCTAAGGTTTTTGCGCCCAATCCTTCTCCAGAATAGCAAACCCAAAACAGACAGTAAAAACAGACGAAAACAACACCCTGATATATGGAAAATGTGGCCATTTGGAGAAGATCTCAATTAATAAACCCTGGTGCATTCACCCGGAAAGGAAAACCGAGCCAGTGATGGGTCAAACCTGTTGTTGGTGCAGAAGGGTATCTAAAGAGCTCCCGTCGTGCAACCCTTCACCATCACCAAGAACAACAACAAAACAATTCACCTGCAGGAACAAGTCTTTGTGCCACCTTGATTAAACCTTGGGATGCGGGTCCTCCGAGAAGATCGCTCCAAAAGCAGCAGCATCCTTGCATACATAGAAAAGGCACTGAAAAGCTTGGCTCTTTGGGTGCATCCAAATATCTTGACCGCACCCAATTGAAAGGGGCAAAGCCGGTTCCTTTTGGCAATGAGTCCCAACAGTCTTGCCAGAGTCCGAGATCTGAAGTGCAGCCGTTTCCTCGAGAGAGGAGTAACTTGGCCAACTCCAATGGGAGCAGGAGTCCTCCTTTGGGGTCCAAGCCTTGTTGCCCTTCAACCAAATCCCATTGGAGAGAGTAGAAGCAACGAAAGTCAACAGAGCAGCAAGCGAAGGAGCAAAGGCGGGCGCTAGTCTTGTTTTCCAAAGGTCTCTGTTGGGATGAGCGTCCGAAAAGGACGGTCCCAGAAGGTGCTGGTGATGCCGAAGCCTGGGATGGAGAAAAGACAACAAAGGAGAGAAAGAATGAGGCAGTGTTGTTGTTGTTCATTCGTTCAGTCGTCTCCGACTCTTCGTGACCTCATGGACCAGCCCACGCCAGAGCTCCCTGTCGGCCGTTACCACCCCCAGCTCCCTCAAGGTCAGTCCAGTCACTTCAAGGATGCCATCCATCCATCTTGCCCTTGGTCGGCCCCTCTTCCTTTTGCCTTCCACTTTCCCCAGCATAATGAGGCAGTAGGTCTGTGCAAAGGTACAGAGGTCTCATAATTCAGAGATTTGTATAAATCTCCGAATTATTAATCAGAATGGGAACCCCCCCCCCCCCCAAAGCATTACAAAACAAAAAGGAAACCTCTGAAACATTTTGGAGCATTTTAAGCTGTGCTTTCTTCAATGTAACATACTTTGTAATTATCTAGGATGGGAGAAGGCTGATGTGATTGACAATGACAACTGCATGCTGTGTTTTTCCTTGTCAGCCAATCACACAGCTTTACTGTATTGTCGAAGGCTTTCATGGCTGGAATCACTCAGTTCTTGTGGGTTTTTTCGGGCTATATGGCCATGTTCTAGAGGCATTTCTCCTGATGTTTCGCCTGCATCTATGGCAAGCATCCTCAGAAGTGAGGTCCGTTTCCTGTTACTGTTACTTTACTGTTTTTTCCTTTTCAGACAATCACATGGCTTGGCTGTTTTTTCCTTGTTAGCCAATCACCAAGGGCAAGATGGATGGATGGTATCCTTGAAGTGACTGGATTGACCTTGAAGGAGCTGGGGGTGGTGACGACCCACAGGGAGCTCTGGCGTGGGCTGGTACATGAAGTCATGAAGAGTCGGAAACAACTGAACGAATGAACAACAACAAGCCAATCGCACAGCTTTACTGTTTTTTTCCTTTTCAGCCAATCACATGGATTGGCTGTTTTTTTTTCTTGTTAGTCAATCACCAAGGGCAAGGTGGATGGATGGTATCCTTGAAGTGACTGGATTGACCTTGAAGGAGCTGGGGGTGGTGACGATCGACAGGGAGCTCTGGCATGGGCTGGTCCATGAAGTCATGAAGAGTCGGAAATGACTGAACGAATGAGCAACAACAAGCCAATCACATGGCTTTATTGTTTTTTTTCCTTGTTAGCCAATCACGTGGCTTTGCTGTTTTTTCCTTGTCAGCCAATCACACAGCTTTCTGCAAAGCTAGTCTCCTCCCTTCAGCATCTTGTCATTTTTAGAAAAATAATTTAAATTGATTTTTTAAAAATCCTAAAAATCATTAGGTGAATGAACCTTTCTGAAACTCTGCAAAATTGATGCCCTGCTTATGTTGTCTCATTGTCTCAGAGATTTGCATAAATCTACAAATTATTAATCAAAACGGGAACCCCCTCCAAAGCATTACAAAACAAAACAGAAACCTCTGAAGCATTTTGTGCTTTCTTTAATGTAACATACTTCGTAATTATCTAGGGTGGGAAAAGGCTGATATGATAGACAACGACAACTACATGCTGTGTTTTTCCTTGTCAGCCAATCACACAGCTTTACTGTTTTTTTCCTTTTCAACCAATTACATGGCTTAGCTGTTTTTTTTCCTTGTTAGCCAATCACCAAGGGCAAGATGGATGGATGGTATCCTTGAAATGACTGGATTGACCTTGAAGGAGCTGGGGGTGGTGACGACCCACAGGGAGCTCTGGCGTGGGCTGGTACATGAAGTCACGAAGAGTCGAAAACGACTGAACGAATGAACAACAGCAAGCCAATCACACAGCTTTACTGTTTTTTTCCTTTTCAGCCAATCACATGGCTTGGCTGTTTTTTCCTTGTTAGCCAATCACCAAGGGCAAGATGGACAGATTGTATCCTTGAAGTGACTGGATTGACCTTGAAGGAGCTGGGGGTGGTGACGACCACAGGGAGCTCTGGTGTGGGCCTGTACGTGAAGTCACGAAGAGTCAGAAATGACTGAACGAATGAACAACAACAAGCCAATCACTTGGCTTTATTGTTTTTTTCCTTGTTAGCCCATCACATGGCTTTGCTGTTTTTTCCTTGTCAGCCAATCACACAGCTTTCTGCAAAGCTAGTCTCTTCCCTTCAGCATCTTGCCATTTTTAGAAAAATAATGTTAACTGATTTTTTTAAAAAAAAATCCTAAAAATCATTAGGTAAATGAACCTTTCTGAAACTCTGCAAAATTGATGCCCTGCTTATGTTCTCTCGTTGTGAAGAAATCCAAGGGGATACCTCTTGCAGTATTGAAAATTATTTGTAAAAACTTTTAAAAATTTCCTAAAAACCAGTGGATGATCGAAACATTCTGAAACTTGGCAGACTTAAAGTTGTGAATGTTGCCTACAAGTGTGCCAAGTTATATCCCGATAGCCTTAAAAATGATGAAGAAATGAGCCTCGAAATGCACCCAAAAGGGTCCAAGGTCTGGAAACCAAGCCCAATGAGGAACGGCTCATGTTTAGCTTGGAGGAGAGAAGTTTGAGAGCCATGTTTAAATATCTTAGCGTATATCACAATGAGGAGGGGGAAAACTTGTCTTCTGCTGCCATAGAGACTAGGGCACAGAAGAATGGATTCAAATTGCAGAACAAGATATTCTACTTGGACATTAGGAAGAAATTCTAATATAATAATACAACATACTAATAGCAGAGCAATGGATTCAAACTGCAGGGGGAAAAGTTCCATCTAAACAATAGAAAAACCTCCTG